GAGTTCGACCTCGATCGAACGACGACGGGTTAACATTTTGACAAGTTCGAAATAACACCCTTTAAGGCCAAGGGCCTTCGCCAAAAAGAAGATTTCAACCGCGATCGAACGACAACGGGTTAACATTTCGACAAGTTCGAAATAACACCCTTTAAGGCCAAGGGCCTTCACCAAAAAGAAGAGTTCGACCTCGATCGAACGACGATGGGTTACTATTTTGATAAGTTCGAAATAACACCCTTTAAGGCCAAGGGCCTTCACCAAAAAGAAGAGTTCGACCTCGATCGAACGACGATGGGTTACTATTTTGATAAGTTCGAAATAACACCCTTTAAGGCCAAGGGCCTTCGCCAAATAGAAAAGTTCGACCTCAATCGAATGATGACGAGTTACTATTTCGATAAGTTCTAAATAACACCCTTTAAGACCAAGGGCCTTCGCCAAAAAGAAAAGTTCGACCTCAATCGAACAACGACGGGTTACTATTTCGATACATTCGAAATAACACCCTTCAAGACCACGAGCCATCGCCAAAGAGAAAATTCGAAATACTCTTAAGGCCGAGAGCCATCAGGAAATATAAAGGGAAAGAAAGACTGGCACTCGCCGTACGGGAGTCTACCTCGCACCAAAGTCACGAAAAGCAAAAACAATGATAAAGTACTAGGCAAATAACAACAAAAAATTCTTCTTTATACAAAGTCACTGTGCAAACAGACGCAGATTACATATGGCCCAAGTCAACAATTTAAAAAAAAAGAAGAAGAGAAGAAAAGAAGAGGGAAGGAGAAAGAAACAACGACAACCGACGACAAAAGAAATAAATAAATAGAAAATAGACAAAGACAACATTTTTTCACTCAGCATCATCATCACCACCATCTCAAGGAAGTCCTCCCTCATCATCCACGCCCTCATCGGCCTCCGGAATAGCAGAGTCATAACCACAGTTGATGCGGGCCTCCCGCGCCTTTGCCCGTGCTCCTTTATATGCAACCTCAGTAACATTGCCCGCCTCCCACAAACTTTTGTATATATCCCGCTGGGCTTCAGCATGAACCCAAAGCTCGTGTAAGTGGCGGGGAACAGCGGCGGAGGAAGACTTAATTTGAGCCAACAATCGCTCCTTTTCAGCCTCCAGTGCAGTGACCCGATCTCCTAAGGTCGAAGCTTCCCGGTCGATCTCACCAATGCGTTCCTCAAGCCTCGCCTCCATCAGTGTGGTTGTCACTCTCTCCGACTCCTGCTCGGACTGGAGGACGCGGATAGTGTTCTCCAGGGCCGCCGCCCTTGCCGAAGCCGCATACCAGGCACTCTCGATACTCTTCAACCCGAAAACCTTTCTCTCCAACTCGGTCAACTTTCCCATCCACTAATCGCCTCTACCTTGATAAGGTTCTGATCCATTTCGGCCTACATTGACCTTAGTCTCCTTTGCAAATAGTCACACTCTGCAGCTACCTCCTTGCCCAACTCAAGCTCTTCGTCCTTTGCGCGAAGTTGCTCCTCGAGCACAGTATTTCTGTGAACGGCCTCCATCAACTGTTGATCTCTCTTCTCCAATTCCTCGCCAAGGGATCGAGCACCGGTATTCTCCCTCAGCCGCCCATGCATCTCACGACACTTGTCGCAATAGCGTCGATACTTCTCCAGCATCTTCAAAAAAGTCTTGGCCCGAATGTCGACCTTGCGCATAATCTCCACCTCCACCATGTACGTCTAAAAATGAGAAGATGGGTTAAAGACATATCAACAAGAAAAACGAGAGAAGTACAAAAGAAAAAGTGTAACATAATCTCAAGCCCATAGCGGCCCCCTCATTCATCAAATCGATATCCGGAATGTTCCGAAAAGCCTCATTCTTAGTAGCGGAGTATAGAATGTCGAACTGCGGCACCAAATCCTCCGTGTCCCCCAGGAGGTTAACATCCGAAGAGATCTCAAGAACACAGGCCGAGCCTCCCACACGAACCATCGAGTGGGTAATACCCTCCTCAGACATCCTAACATCATCAGGATCAAGGTCCGACTCTGATTCATAGTCGTCGACCACAACACCCTTTCCTCTTTCGGTGCCTGAGAAAGAAGCACGACCAGGTACAGAGGATGAGGGTACGTCCGAAACCACAATAGCGGACTCATAAATCTAGCTCCCCATCATGACAGGTTGTTGATCAACGACAGTGGCAAGAATCTCCGTCGACGGGGCAGATACGACGGCTGGCTCTATCTCTACGGGAGAATTGGTATCAATCCCAGCCCCAGATCCCGTCAAGGGAGAGTCGTCCAGGTGTATTACAGTTGGAAGGGTTGTCTCGAATTCCACTTGCCGCTTCTTAGATGGCCCTTCTTCTTCCTCAGCGTAGGGAGATTCACCCTTCAGACGAGCGACATGAGTCCGGACCTCAGTCTGAGAAGTGGCCTTCGCAGGAATAACCACAGCCGCAGACTTAAGTGAAGTAGCCCTCGACGAAGACCGACGGTAGGTGCTGTCGACGGGCGAGCAGACGATGCCGACTGACGAAAAACTAATGGAGGGGCCCTCGCTCTCTGCACTCTCCCTGTCATCGACAAACAACATATAAGAAACTAAGTAAAAAGAGAGGAAAAATAGCAAACAGAAACGACATCTCACTTGTAAAGGTCCTGCGTCCAAACATCTCACCTGCCGTATGGGGAAGAATGGCACTCACCCACTTGCGGATACCTTCGACAGATGGAAGGGGCAATTTCTCGGCTGCAGACATAACATGGTTTAGTACTATAACAGAAGGCGGTCGGGTATCTCGCCGACTAAAAACATAAGAAACTTACGTGTAAAGTTCCACTTCTCAAGGAACCCCGTTGGATCTGCCACAATATGCTCGGTCTGCACATAGAAATAATTCTCGTAGAAACGACAGTTAGCCCTGTCGTCCATTTTCACCACCAAACTCTTCGACCCCCGATGGCGCATGTGAATCATCGTGCCGCAAATAAGTTGAGGAGCGAAGATATTGAGCATGTGATCCAAAGTGACCTCACGACCGGCGAGTTCCGCAAACTTGAGCAACATAAGGAACAACTTGTACAGGTACGACGAAAGTTGGGCGGGGCATACCTCGTAAAAACGACAGAAATCTACCACTAAGAGAGGGAGAGGAAGTGTGTATCCGATAAGAAAGGGGTAGGCGTAGAATACGCAGTACCCGGGACGGTCAAAATGAACTATGTTGTTCCCTACCACCGGCCGCATGTCAACGTAATTGGGGATTCCCCATCTAACTTTCAACCCTACAATTTCTTCTTCTTTTATAACACATGGGATAGGTTCCGGCTCCACCCCGGCGCGAGTGCAGAAGTCAGTCCATTCTCTCTCAGGACAAGGCAAGATCTCGGCTACCGATGGGACCTCCTCATCTTTCACCACTTCTGCTCCTCCGGTGGCCAGAGCAATATTCTCCGGCGCCAAAATTGTGACAGGGAGATCAATGCGAGAAGAGTCACCAGCCATTTTGTCAAGATAGTGTCGCAAAAAGACAATGGAAAGGAAGGATGAAAGTTTTTAGCCAACTAGGGGCGAACGAAAATTCGTAGTATCAAGAAGAAAGTATATTCGCAAAATTCTTTCAAGCAAAGGGCAAAGAAGTGTGTCAATCGAATGATGTGTTCCTTCTATTTACAAGTGACATAAATCCACCAAGCATGAAACCCAAGAGTCACCAATCGAATCTGATAGGTCACAAAACATTTCGGTTCCCCAGGAATGTGTGTCATAATGGCAGCAACCACGAAACAACGCTTCAATACCAAATGACGTTTCGGTTTCGAAACAGTCGCAACGGTCCAAGGATATCGAAAGAGCATCGTCATCTCACTTGAAACCTAAGAAGCGCAACCAAGGAACAAGCAGTCAGACTCCTCTCGAATTCATAGCAATCATGATCCGTCTGCCTGGCCCGATAGGGGACGACCCCGACAGACGGAGGGACTAACTATATTGATCAAATCTGACCGCTGCGGTCAAGCTAACCAACATCCCGTCCAGGCGGCAAGGCAGTGAAAGGCGACATAGTCTATTCGACATCTAACACGCTCGATACCCGTCGAGTTAGAAAAAATAACGTTTAGAGGACGACCAAGGAAGACATAGTATGAGAGAACGTCGGACCAAGTAAATAGCAAAGGTCCCATGACTATATATAATAGGGGAAAGCCTTCGATTAAAGGGGGTTCTCTTCTCCATCCTCTCTCCTAAGTGCTCTGATTTGTAATCTTCATAATGAGAAGAAGAACAAAGTAATCTCCATAAAAACATGTAAAGCTACCTCCCATATTGATTGATGGGAGCCACAATAAAGAGTTTCAATAAGATCGATTACCTCTATTCCGTCTCATATGCTATTCTTTCAATTAGCTCATTGGTCTGGAATTTATTATGTTTAACTAAGATACCCTTTCAGTCTCTTTAATTGATTTGTTAAAAAAAGGTTCCAATATCTTTTGAGTCAAACACATATATCATACATTTATTTATTCAGTACGGGTAAGTTTTTACCTTTCCACAATATCATTAGACGTAATATATGCAATGTACTTAGTGTGATCTCATAAGTGGAAAATGAAAAAAATAGAGTGTACGCAAACCTTACTCCTACGTAATATTGGTGGAAACTTACATCTTGCTTGGATTGTTGTTACTAGGGATGTACAAAGGAAACCGACAAACCGCACCAACCAGATAATTCGAGTCAAACCAAGAAAAAAAAACCCGACTATAATTCAATTTGACTTGGTAAAAGTCACGGAATAGAATTGTTAGATAAAAGAATAGAATAAAGGATAAAATATAGTAATTATTTAATAAGAAGGAAGGTAACGACCAAATTCATGTTTCCATAAAATGATATTTTTACTATACAATAAAATTTAAGTATCAATCAAAACAAATAAATTTGGCTAGAATCTAAGAGTTAAAAAAAAAAAATAGTACACCAAATTAACCACGGGCCAAGATTACTTTTATCTGGGAACAGAATAGAGAGGAATATACAGTACTAGAGCGAGCAGGTAACACTTTATCACAAACGTATGGTGAATGCGTCTCTCCATCTTCTCCCCCATGTAAGCTCTCACACTCTCTCTATACGTTTGAATTTGGATTTCTGCCTTATTATTCCTCTTGGCTCTGCAAAAAATCTGACTGCAGTTTAGGAGCAAATTCAGAAACCCCGTCTCCGTAATTTGAACAATGGCTAGTGCTTTCTGTTTTTCTTTTTGTTTTATAATTTAGTTAATTTCCCTACCAGTATAATGGCATTACATCGGTTTCATTTTTTTTATATTTTGCTAGATGTGAAGTGAAATTTTGATATTTTTGGTCGATGATGACTGATGGGTTCGGTTTTGCATTTTATCGAATACTTTGTCGAGCTTCTTATTTTACATTTATTTTATGTTCATATATGAGACAAAATTTGAGCAATGTGATCACAATGAAGGAGCTTAACCCTATTTATCAATGTACCCAAGATTCCTTGACCATTTGCTGAGAAAATTAGTCTTTAAAGCCACCCAAGAAACAGATTTCTGAGGGACAGGCATCACATTAGGTATTTGCACTGTAATTTGAAGTTCTTGGTCATTTGATTTAAGTTAATTATTGAAATTTTCCTAGCTATCATTTGGACGAATAGGGTGACGAGACTAATTTGGTTCTTCATTGAGCCATTTTAGGTAAAATCTTATTCAGTAAGCACCTTAATTATTTTATCTGGACTTTATACAGTTGAACTCATTTGTAAATTGTAAATGAATGACACCACATTTTTTCGCGAGAATTAGGAGAAAGAGGCACTTAGTAAATTACTTGAGCATAAGAAATTTTCCACTAATGGTGATATTTTCCAATGGGCCTTTTTAATCCCAAGGCGTCATTTTTGCATTCATCAGTTTTTGCTTTTGTTTCATGTATCTGAAATTCTGAGCCAAGCTGTCTCGTTGTTTCTCTTTTCCCTATCTTTTTTTTCCCCATTATGATTCATATTTTGATAGATCATTTGAGTTCTGCATGAGTTTTATTTTAATAAATGTTTAGTTATGCTTCAGTTTTAACAATTGCTTAACTGATTATTCAGTTTATCATTTGGTACATGTTCTGCTTTTCCCGCAGAAGGTAAAACAATTATGTGAATCCTAACCTCCTATGTTATAGCAGACACCACAAGAGTCTTGTATAACGTTATGTACGAGTGGTGCTTTGTTATCTTGATAGTAATAATGTTGTTTAACAAGAAATGGACAGCGGATGTATTGTTCTTTTGGCTACACACTAGGAGACTTAACCTTTGATTGTATGTTGCCCAATTAATGCTATTTATCAAACGGAAGCATCTCTGATCAATATATTTGTTTCTTCCTCAGGAAATTATCTCCTCATCTTTCTATCAATACCTCGCATAGTACTTTTCTTTCCCCAACTTCAGCTTGTGTCGCTGAGTGTACACGAAGTAGACTGAGCATATCAAAGTCAATTTATCATGCATCTGTGGTTCAGAACAACTCCTTATCATCTGGCTTTTCTGTTTCATCCAAAGGAGAAGACTCGTGTAAATTGTTATATGCTAGAAATGGTCCGGCAGAGATGTTGCAGTTAATGAGGTGTAATGCAAGAAAACAAAGTGCTGATATGAACAAGGAGCAAGTTTTGGCTGAAGACTTTCGAGAAGAGGATTATTCCAACAGAGACAAGGGTTTTGACTATGAGGATGGTAAGGAAAAGGAAGCAGAGAGAAGAAGAAAGATTGGATTAGCAAACAGAGGAAAAGTGCCATGGAACAAAGGCAGAAAACACAGTCCAGGTAGGTTTGATATGGAGGGTGGTATGTTAGTTCCTACAACATATATTTGTGTAGTTTAACTACTCTGCAGTACCTTGCAGAGACTCGTGAAAAGATCAAACAGAGAACCAAAGAAGCTTTGAGTGATCCAAAGGTGAAGTCATGTAAGAATCAATAGTTCGATGTTCTTCACACTGCATTTACTTCCAAAACAGATGTGGAACATGTGCTGTTGTTGGATTAAAGAAAAAAAACAATTAGTTTATCTAATTCAAACATATTTTATATCTCTAAATAGCCAACCCCACTTTTTTAGGATTGAGGCATAGTAGTTGTTGTATATATATCTCCAAACTGGCTTTACTTTTGGTTCTGCTTTGGAGTTTATACATGGAAATGAAAGACCACAATATCATCCAACGCTCCTTTACTTTTTTCCATTTTTTTTTGGGTTACCTCAAAGCATTGCTTCTGCCAGAGAATGACAATGGTAGCATGATAGTGTACTGACTATACGGTAGATATAGATACATACATTTATACGTACATGCTGTATGGTACATATAGATACATACATGTAAATCAATATCATTTTCTGTAATCTATTTTATCTATTTTCAGGTAAGACGAAAGATGTCTGAATGTCCACGCGTTCTAAGGTACTTTTCCGCCTCATCTTTATCATAATTGGAAGCTGTACGCACTTCTGTAGTTATACTTCCTTGCATCTTGGTAAAACATTCAAGTCTGCTACCGAATGCTCTGAAATGTTTATGATTTTGGTAGGTGTAATGAAAGTAAAGGCTCAAAGTATGAGGTCACATTTACTTTGCTAAGGAATAAATAACATTCACGGCTTTGTTTAAGCGTCCAAGAGTTAGGTTAGTTATATAAGAGCTTGAATTTCAGGATTTTGGACAATCTTGAGGAACTGTAACAGCCTAGCAGCGGGCGACTAACTTAAGTCAATCAATATACGTGTTTGCATATGTCTTTGTGTGGTATATGTCAGCTTTCATTAGACTATCTCTCTCTCTCTCTCTCTCTCTCTCTCTCTCTCTCTCTCTCTCTCTTTATAAGTTCAAGCTGAAGATACTACTGAATACCCTTGGCAAAGAAAGATAACATTGGAAGCACTATATTGAGCAAATATATTTTGCTTAAAGTTCCAACCGATCACTCCTTGTTCTTCTTGCTTCTGCATGTGCTTCCGACCAGCCACAGTTATATTCATTGCTAATGATACATCTATTCAAACAATTTCAGCTGGCTTACCAGAGCTTTGTAACCTCCTCTTGTGTCATTTCTGACCAGATATGATAGACACAGACTGCATGATAGGTTTTCCCCTCCTGATAAATAGACTCTGCTGTAGTTTTTCAGAGGCTCTCTACGCATCACACAGCTGCAGCATCTGCTGCAATTCGTCATTGTAGCAGGGACAAATGAAGAAAAGGTGATAAATAGTCTGTGTAATAACCACAAAAAGTACGATCAGTACGCTTAGCTACTCCCACGGCCGCTCCATTTTTAAATTTCTTTTAGGCGCTTTTACTAATAAAAAAGTATTTTAGGCACTTTTGACTCCCTGGTTTGAAATTTTAGAAGTTCTCAGTAGAGGATCTCTTCCTGAGCCATACTAGTGTGCGGTGTCATGATCTTCTTTGTAAAAGTTACTAGTATTGCCAGAAATCATTCTCTTTACTCTAGTATTGAATGATAGGAATTGTTTGACATCACTATAACTGCAGCATGAATAATAGTTCACCAAAAAGGATAACTTGCAAGTTAAACTTTTTTACCTTAAATCTGGAAGTCAATAATAACTCTCTTTGCAGCAATCAGACCAAGATAAGAATACGCACATCTCTGAGAAAACTGTGGGGGGAACGCTTAAAATGGAAAAGGTCAAGGGAGAAATTCTTTCAGTCATGGGCTGAAAGCATTGCAAATGCTGCTAAGGCAGGTGGGGGTGACCAAGAAGAACTAGAATGGGACAGCTATGACACGATTAAAAGAGAGATAGCTCTCGAACAGCTTCAGTCAGCTGCAGAAAAGGCTAAGGCAAAAGAAATGGCACGCATACGAGCTGAGAGAGCAGCACAGAGAAAGACAGAAAAGATGCAGAGACTAGCTCAAAGGAGAAAAGAACGAGAAGAAAAACAAAAAGTTGAAGGAAAAATAAAGAGACCGAGGAGACTGTCAAAGCAAGAGAAAGAAGAGCTAGCTGTTGCTGAAGAATTGAAACTCAAGGCTAAATTAGTGAAGGTCAAAACTCAACATAACCTTGCTTGAACATTGATATTAAAATATGCTTGAATATGGTTTACTCACGTAAATCAATTTTTGCCAACTTTCATTTTTAAAAGATAACATATTACAGATCATTTAACTGGGCCTAATCATGGAGATAACTACAGGTGGACCCGAGTGGTCTAGGAGTGCCATGGCTTCTCCCAAACTTTTGACAAATTAATATTTCATATCCTATGTATAAGGAAAATTTTGAAAACCCCTCCTATTTTGTTTGCTGGCCACTCCAAATTAATTGCTATTGCCTATTCCAAGAAATTACCATGTCTGCTAAAATAAAGTCAGAGATTATATTCTCTCATACATCAAATTTTGAACTTTTTGCTGAACTTTTTATCATGCACTATTCCCTTCTGGGAAAGGAAACACAATTGCTCCACAAGTTAGCACTGAAATAGTATATAATCTGAAACAAATTCCATTCCACTGTGAGTGCGGCTAAAAAGTTGCCATTTTGGTGCATTATTTGTGCTTCATAACTGATGTCATATCCTGTATGTTCACAGCTTCTTCTGCAGCTAAAAAGTTGGCACGTTGGTGCGTTATTTGTGTTTAACTGACCATTTCCTGTATGTTCACAGATTCAGAAGAAGAAGTCCACACCCAGTCAGGTTTGCAGAGAACATCAACGAGCTTGGGAAAGACTTGATGTAGGGTTCATAAAGAGAGCACACGTACAAAATACAGTTTCACTTGCAGATCAGATTCGTGTTGCCAAAAAGAGAACGGAGGTTGTGAATGGAAAAGCCTTTAGTATTACATCCTCTGGATCCGTTGAAATATCAGCAGAGGCCTAATTGTGCAGTTTACCAGCGGATTCAGAATGAACCAAAAAATCTACTTTCTCAATTCATTTACAAATGTAGTGTTTTACTTCATTTTTTCAGGAAAACTAAATTTTGTGTAGCTTGTGGACCTCCTTTTCTGTAAACATAAGACTCAGGAGTGACTACTGATTGTAATATGAACAACTGAATAGGAAAGAAGGTAATCATTGCTTTTCACTTGTGTTGCAGATATGCCTCATCCGTTGATGCTTTCAGCTACAACGGATTTGTTCCGAGATTTGTGACCCTTTTGTCTCTGTTTGGAAAGATTAGTTATACTTTAATTTTCTTTCTCATCCTATATTTACATCCCTTGGTTTTACATTACTGTTTCAATAATCAATATACGACCTTATAGCGACTATCCCACATTAGCTTGGAGAGAACTCTCACATCAGAATCTGCGATTTCAGGTTTAGCGTCGGGAAAAAAGGGAAGAGAGAAACGTGAAGGCATCGAGTTGTCCATCTCTGTGACTTCAAGCTGCGTAAAAATTGGATTGGAACTAAGCTATACGTCTCCTGATGGATTTGTTTGAGTTGAAATTAGTTTATTCCCTAGTGTTACAATTTCAGTAGTCTTCTGTCGTGCCTGCTCAAAGTTCAAGTAAGAAAGTAAAAATAGCACGGTATAGCTAGTTTTCGGACTGGTCATTCAAAAATAGCCAGCGGTTACCAAGTCAATGAAAAATAACCACTATTTTGCTGCAGCAGAGACCGATCCAGCAAAATATACTGGAGTTCGGTGCACCTATGTATGAACCCCAGCATATTATGCTGGACCAGTATACTTTGCTGGTTCCAGTATAATATACTGGAGCACCGGTGCTCCAAACTCCAGTATATTATGCTGGACCGGTATACTTGTTCCAACATACTTATCTTGGAACTCCAGTATAATATGCTGGAGTTCATGTATACTTATGCTGGAACTCCAGCATAATATACTGGCGTATTTCCGGGTTTTGAACAGTGTTTTCGCTCAGATTTATCTTTACATGAAAAGTGACTAAATTTCGATTACTTTTGAAACTGGGCTATTTTTGAACGACCAATTATAAATCTGACTATTTTTGAATTTCACCCAGTAAGAAATGATAGTGATCTTCCAGAAATTGTTTGCCTGGCTATGTTAGTATCACTTCCTAAATAGAGAATATTTTGCAAAGGACCATTGTTTATTGCGACAGTTGAAAACATCATATTTCCACGGCTGTGAATCTATATTTGGAGCTTTAAAAGGAAACTGGAACCTAATCTCATGCTCTATTAACAAATAGCTTCTTGAACGAACAACTATTGTCGCCTATAGACTATAGCGTTAACCACTATTCTTAATCTTGATTAGTAATGTCGCTTCTATTGAGCAGAAATTCGCCTATACCTAGACAGTAATTGTTATTAGAAACTTTACATTGACAGAGCACATTCTATTTGCAATTAAGCCTTGAGAATTAAAAGGATTGTATAGATTGGAAGCCCTGACAGGCTGAAAAGGCAATCCACAGTAAAGCAAATAGAGCAATTCTAATAAGGTGACAGCACTTAAATAAAACATGAATTATTTTTGGTACAGCACTCAATATGTACCATTATGATGAAATCGTGCTACCGAAACATAAGATGGTACATTACTTCCCAAAATAAAATAAAAAAACCTAGCATTAAGAACTTCATACTTAATATCTACATCTGCTTATCGGTAATTAGGAGGGGGCATATCTCTTCCAGGCAAGTTTTGATTCTGATAAGGGTTTCCATCAGATGGATTAGGAGAGTAGCTCTGGTTTGGCCCTGGACCTGTTGGGTAAGGTGTGCCTCCACTGTTTGATCCACTGTTGTATTGGAAGTTGGGTGCATTGTTTGGCACTCCTCCATAGTTATGGGTAGGCCCTCCACCCATGTTTGGTGGAGGCATGTTTGGCTGCTGCATCCCACCCACATGGGGTGGCCTTCCCATGCCCTGCTGGTGCATCCCGCCCGGGTTGGGAGGACCTCCCATGCCCTGCTGTTGCATCCCGCCCATGTTGGGTGGACCGCCCATGCCCTGCTGTTGCATCCCGCCCATGTTGGGTGGACCTCCCATGTTAGGTTGCTGCATCCCGCCCATGTTGGGAGGCGGTGGATTCCTCATGTTGGGAGGGCCCCCGGGTGGCATGTTGGATCCAGGGTTCTGACTGTTTTGGTTAGTCTGCATGTCTCTTCTTCTCTCAAAGTTTCTGGATCTATCAAAATTACGAGGTCGGTCATTTCGCCTGTTTCTCTCATTAGCACGAGCATTGTTTCTCACCCACTCCTCATGGTACTTAGGGTCATAAGGTACAGCCTGCCCATTGATAAAAGGTTCCCCTGCAACACATTACAGTGGTCAAATATTAGCAAAAGGCACTGAAGTAGAATAGCTGGTACACATGACCTAGTTCACAAGCAACAAGATAGACATGTAAAACAACTCTAGTTGAAGATGCAAGTATCTGCAGCCACATACAATAGTAATGCCTGTCGTTGGAGAAAAAGGGGGGCTATTCATTAAATTAATAGCAGATGATCTCCAACTTTTCTCCAGCTTTTCTGTAAGCTGTGAGAAAACATATACCAAGAAACAAAACCTAGGGTTTTTTTTCTTTTCATTTTGAAACAAATACTGCAAAACTTATCCAAAGTTTAATGGCCTGAATGTTATACACCCATGCGTCAATCACATCACAAATGAAATTAGTGAGTTGAATCAAACATCCAAGCCTAACTTTTTAAATACATGAATGTTTTTATCTCTTTTCTAAATGAAGCTAATTGGCAGAAGAATGAAATGAAAAAGGAAGCTCTCTGAAGCCTAGAAGCAACAGCATATTACTATTCATACACATAACAGATACAAGTGAAAAATTGAAAACATATCCTAATATCATACCAAGTGTGACAATCAAAGATAACATTCATGTAGCCTGAAAATGCTAAACTAGCGGTGACACAGAACGATGATAGCATTGAAAAACATGGAACTGCCTACCTCCATAATCTTTGTTTCTAACATCCAGATAGGAATCAGGAAGCACCCAACGAACCCTGGGCAGCTCTGCACATGAATGGAAGGAGTAAGTGATTAGAACTTCCACATCTTTACCTTTCATACACCATCACAACATACCAAAAAAAGGTGGGTGTGTGTGTGTGTGTGTGTGTGAGAGAGAGAGAGAGAGAGAGAGCACATCAATAACTGCATTACCTTTTAGTTTGTACGAAAGTTCTTCTGATACAAGAGCACCAAAAGCATAGTAATGCCTGGTTGAGACAGAATATATCTTCATCCTTGCTTCTTCCTCGCTGCAATTAATACAAAACCATCCATAGAAATAAACTAATTATTCTTTCCAGCTACTTAACATGCCAAACACTTCTCTAGTACTATTAGAGCAAGACAACAACCGGTTCACACACAAGGCACACATTCCCAAATAGAAATATAACCGCAAAGGCACGCATTTCCAAATAGAAATATAACCGCAAGGAAGTTCCCTTTTCCTCCTCCTATTCTATTTCTCATCAAGCTATTTATCACAATTGAGTTCAACTAAACTAGGTTGTTTTGGTGTATTAGGTATGGAGGAAAATATTCACATGGAACAACCTTGTTGGATATAAGATAAGGTAGCATGGATAGTCCCCAAAGGAGTAATGTATAGTATAAGGATAAAGTTGTGGTGTTCACTTTCGAGTATTAAAAGTTAACAATGATGTCCAAGTGTTGATTGAAAAAAAGAGATATTGCACAGAATTTGGGATATCCTAAAAGGAAAATGACTATCACGGAAGTTATTCCCCTCGTTTGTAGGAAAATGACATATTTTTAGAAAGCATTATCCACTAAGCAGATGACATGGAGTAGAATTTGTGACACTTCTGAAGACATATTCTGTAAGTTAATTTCCTTGTTCCGGTAGAAAATGCATTATTTCGGAAAGAATTATTAGGATGAGGGCGGGCATGTCTGCTTGGGCATCACACATTCATTTTATATATTAATGATATCTGGTTCTTCTAATTCATATAAATTTAATAAGACTGTGTCCTCTCTTTTTAATATTATTCCTTAAGCCCATAGGTTTGATTCTATAGAATCTGACCCATTTTATCATTGAACTAAAGGTCATAAATGAAACTGGACTGGTTTAGCAACTACACTAACAAGAAAGCGTAACAGCACATAATATAACAAGTAAAAAATTGACAGAAGCTAAAATAATAGAATAGTACTCCTAACAATTATAAATTGTTGGTTCATAAAAAAAGGATAAGAAACTAAAAGCAGAGGACCGAGTCAAACCTTCCAACAATATTAGCAAGAGTTTTGATGTAACTATCAATAATCTCATCCCTAGTGGGATCACCTTCGGGCTTCTCCATCACAACAAGCCAGTGTTCGAAGTCACAACCGTCGAGCAAAATCGTCTCCTTCGGGGGTCGATTCGACCAGTTAGGATTCGGGTCATTGAGCGACGATGACGTCTGTCGAGTGGCGAACCCTCGAACAGCAAAAGGCGTCGGCGGCGGAGAGGCGTTTTTTAGATTGGCGGCGACGGCAATAAGAGGTCGCAGTCGGAGGAGAGAGGAAGAAGATAATGTGCTCGATGGTGCAAGAGAGGTGTATGAGCGAGTGAAGGCAGTGAGTAGAGAACGAGTCAGATAGCGAGTCGCCATTTTTTGATACTAAACCCTAGCTCTGTTAAGATGAAGAAGGACTGATGAGTCTGGGAGGGTTTATCGGGTTTTAATAGAAAGTGCGAACGAAAATGACGTGAAAATACCGCCTCTCAAATTAATCCCTAAAGTTTGGTTGGGTCCCTAATGTTTCAAAATGTGTGAAGTGCATCCTCGAACTTTTGATGAGTAACTCTTTTGGGCGAAGTGCACCAATAGCAACTTTTAAGCCCGCTATTTAAAATATATTTATAATTTATAATTTATTTAAATATTAGTCAATTCACCAAATTTTTCTGTACTAAGTATCCTGAATTTGAAAATTCAAAACTTAATGTCTTGAATTTTGGAGCTGCTAATTTGAAATTCAGGATTAAGCATCCTGAATTTCTGAACCACTAATTTAAAACTCAGGACATAAGATTCGAACTTATGGATATAATATTTGAATTTTAGGACACAAACTTTGAAGTTTAAACTCTAAGACGCCGTGTTTTTGAAATTGAGCGAAATTGGCTAATCTTTAAACACACTGTAAACTGTGAATATATTTCAATCAACATGCTTGAAAGTGGCTACCTGGTGTTATTTCTACAACTCTTTTCTTTTGGAAATAGTTACTATATTCCAGTCTCACAACATAGGTAGAAATGACATCGGGTAGCCATTTTAAAGGTCTGTTATTTCGGAATTATCCAATATGTATTGAATTTTATTTTTTAGTTCAATTTTTCAGGACAAAAATGTCCTGAATTTTTCGAAATTAAGATTTTTGGTTTAAATTTTTAGGATGAAATAAGTACCGGCTAATTACTAAATAGCAGATCTAAGAATGATTGCTTGCGCACTTCCCCACAATTGTATTTTTATTCCTTCTTCTTTTTGTTTGATAATTTGTATTTCTCTTTGTTTAATTCATTGAAAATTAACACTGTCAAAGGGTACATTAGATATTATCCAAAAATAATCGCAGCAAGTAGTAAAATCCAGAATCAGCTTAACTATAAAATGGCATAGCCTTCATAAAATCATCAATATCCTAATTCAATGTATGTCTGCTAAAGGCCTGGATAGTGATTCAAACATGCTCACGATACGGTTAAAAAAATGTACGTGTTAGTCACTTTTCGGGTAGATTTTGGAAAATAATTAGTGTTTTCAGCGTTCGTAGAAAAATACCACTTTCAGTATGAAACACCATGGCAACGTCATACAATGTCGAACTTAAACAAACAAAAAAATCCATTATATTGTCGTCACTTTTTAAATTCATATAGTGTCATGAATGAAATTACATAACATAGTATTGGATTTCGTCCAGGATACTGTTATGGAGTTTTAACTTTGAAATCCATAACCCTGTCATAAATTCCAAAAATTGATTATTCTTAATGACTTTTGGATTTGCGATTATTTTTCAATTATAAGTTCAGAAAATGGTTGTTTTTGAACTTTACTTCATGACACATCGAGTTGAGAATTGATAACGCACATGGGTTCCGAGTGGGCTTAGAGAGCTAAATGATTCCCTGTATAGGCCTAAAGTTTTATTTTTTTGAGAAGATAGATACTGATATTAATATTAAATACTGTTCATAACATTACAGACCCTTTGTGCCTCATGGTGGACACATAAGTTCCCAAGACTAGTTAACAGATTACATGCACCTTCTGAGAGGTGTTTAACAAAAGGAGAACAACCAAGTTTATCTAGAGAAAGTTGTTGCATAACGATAGGTGGTGGTATAGCAAAAATTGATAGTTTCCTGATTTTGGATTGATTAGAGACTTCCTTGGCTAGTATGTGAGCCACCATATTTCCTTGATGGAAATTATGTTTGATCACCATCTCCTCCTTCTTCTGGGACATTTAACAACATGCAAGAGTGTATAATATTATTAAAAATATCATGATTTGTTGTTAATACTTGTATTACCTCAGTAGAATCAGTTTCTACTTCAAGTGGGTAGAGTCCATTTTGTATTGCTATTGTGAGACCTGTTTGGAGAGCTAGAAGTTTTGAGTGTAGGATGGTCACATCATGAACTTGTTGGCTGAAAACCATGATCCACTCTCCCAAACTAGTTCTGAAGACTCCTCATATAGCGGTTGATCCTTTTTTAATAGCACCATCAATATTGAGTTTGTGCCAGTTTCTCGGAGGCTTATGCCACTGAGCCTTAATTTTCTTCTGGCCATGCATGTTAGTTTCATTTTTGGCTAAGAACTTGTATTCTAAGGCATGGTTGATCATAGTTTTGGCTTTTAATACAAGAGTTATATTATTGTGGATGTTGTTGTTTCTGTTACGCCAGATGCCCCATAGGGCAAAAGCAAAGAAATCGTCCTAAGTAATTGGGAGACTGGGCAAACCATGGTTTAAATTCTTAATGGTGAGTAACCAATGTTTATTTGTGTTGAGGAGAATGTAGTGAATACCTAAGGTTTGCCAAAACCTGAGAACTAAAGGGCAGTTTAAAAAGATGTGCTCGATAGTGTCTTCTACCTCTCGACATGCTGTGCATTGTTTGTCAATATTGATCCCAATATAAGCTAAGTAAGATCTTGTGGGGAGTTTATTGTGGAAAACCTGTCATATGAAGTATTTGATCTTGTTGGGGTAGTCGATTTTCCATATCCATTTGAAGTTTTTCCTACCATGTTGAAGATTACTAATAATGGTATAGCAAGAAGTTGTATTGAAAAGACCACTTCCATTATTTTCCCATATAGCAATATCTTTGTGGTTTTGGTTTAAAGAGAGAAAAATTGTATTAATATGTCTTTGGATGGGATCTGGAAGATGGAAAGATAGTTTGCTTAGGTTCCAGGTATTATTAGCAGAAAGATCAGCTATTTTGATGGAGAGATCACCTTTATTGAGGGGACCTCTATACAGTTTCTAAGGCATGGCATGGATAGAATTCATCTTGAGTTTCAGATGTCAATGTTATAATTTTTGTTAGGAATCCAAAGAATGGCTTTGTTACAATAATATCATCCTTGAGGACACTTTTCCATACAAAAGAGGTATAGGTTGTGAACTTACATGAGGAATAGGAGCAGGCCAGTGTTTTGGCACAAGGAGAGGTGATTTGTGAGATTAGGCGCCAAGAGAGACCCATTAACATAGCTAGATTTTTATCTTTAGCTGCCCTTATTCCAAACCCACCAAATTCCTTAGGGGTGGTGATAGTTTTCTAGTTAATGAGGTGAAGCTTTTTCTTTTCTTTAGTAGATCCCCAAATAAAGTCCTGTTGAATTTTATCTATTTGCTTATGAATCTTAGTGGGTAGTAAAATATACTGGTGGGCTAACGTAGTTCTCCCCGCAATATTAAAAAAATTAGTTTTCCAACTAGCAAGCTTGGTTTGCATGTTATCAATAATAAATTGGAAATCCTTTTGTTTGTGATGATGATGGAGCATAGGAAAGCTAAGATATTTACCAAAATTCTTTAATATTTTAAGGCCAATAAGATTGGCGTAATATTTGGCCTTTTCATTAAGGCAGTTGTTTGAAAAAATAATTTTAGACTTATTGTAGTTTATTTTTTGTCCTGATAAAGAACAAAATAATTTTAAGCAATCAGAGATACAGGCGCAACTTTTGTCATTGAAATCAAGGTTAGGTTATCGGCAAAGAAGAGATGAGATAAGGATGAACTTTTATTTTTTATACTAACGGGGTCCCAACAAAGAGTATCAACTTTATGGGAGATTATACGAGAGAGCATTTCTAGACTTAGGATGAAAATATAGAGAGATAGAGGGTCTCCTTGTCTAATTCCCCTACTAGGGCTACAAAAATTTGTGACACTCCCATTAACTAAAACTGCTATGTTGCTAGTGGTGATGCAGTTCATAATGAGACGAGTTATTAACGGAGGAAAGTTGAAGAAGCGAAGAGTACAATAGATAAAGGACCATTCTAAATGGTCAAAAGGTTTTTCAAGATCAATTTTTAAGATCATATTAATTTTGGACCCTTTCATAGTACGAAAGTAATGAAAGAGCTCTTGAATAATAATAGCGTTATCACAAGTTCTCCTATTTTTGATGAAGCTGGATTGGAAAGGGCTGATCAAGTGTGGGAGAAAGGGTTTGATCGTGTTAGCTATGATCTTAGAAATGAGTTTGGAGCTAGTATTACACAATCCTATTGGTCTAAATTTTTTTATATTATTGGAATTGGGAAATTTTGGGATTAAGCATAACAAAGTGTTATTAACAAGGTTAGGAATAACTTATGTGTGGAAGATATTGTGGCAGAATTGGAGTACTGAGGGACCAACAATGTCCCAATATTTCTGATAAAAGAAAGGGTGTAAGTTATCCGGCCTGGAGGCCTTGAAGGGTTTAAAAGCAAAGAGGGCATCCATAACTTCTTTTGTACAAAGAGGTCTGTCTAAGAATGAGAGATTAATTGGGGAAAAATTGGTAGGGTCATTTTTAATACTTAGCCAATTTGTCTTTGAGTGATCAGTTGTGAACAGTGATTGAAAATAGGTGAAAATATGATTTTGAATGGAGACTTGATCATTAATCCAGTCACCATTACCGTTTTGAAAAGAGACTATTTTATTCCTTCTCCTTCTATTGGTAGCGGATATGTGGAAAAAATTTGTATTGGCGTCACCCTCATTAATCCAAAAAATCCTAAATCGTAGTTTTCAATAGTCCTCTTCTATTCGGAGGATAATGTTGTATTCCTCTTTTAGTTGGACCTCTAGGGTTTGAAGAAAAGTGTTATAAGGATAATTAGGGGATTGTTGGATTTCTTGGAGTCCAGCAAGTATCTTACCTTTTTTTTTAAAAATCACTAAAAGTGTGAGACTTCCAAGATTGAATTTTATTAGTGAAGATATTTGTAGCACTATATAAATTGTTACTCGTCCAGCTCTCCTTAACAACTAGTGAATGTATTCGCGCTTCGCGCGAATTATTAGATTTTACGAATATCAAAAAATTTAAAATTTCTTTTGTCTTCAAATTCAAATATTTCAAGTTTTAACGAATTATATTATCCACACTTAGCTTTATACATTTTATATAATTTT